GAAACCCTGTACAGGGTCGCTATGAGTTGGAACCAACTCCACGGCACATAACAAGAGGCAATAGACCAAATCAAACCACTTACTGCCATTAAGTTGATTCCAACTCCAACTCAGGTGATCTTACAGGATGGGCTAGAAGTGCCCCATCATGTGGAAGCAGATGAACATTTTTCTCCCACAAAGTGGTTGGTGGGTTTAAACAATCGACCTTTTAGCTAGCAGCTGAGTGCTTAACTGCTGTGCCACCTGGGCCCCAGAGACAAAATGTTGTTAAGTGCTGTTGAGTCAATTCTGACTCATAGTGACCCCGTAAATGGTTTCTGAGGAGCGGCTAGTGAGTTTGAACTGCCAACCTTGTGGTTCAAACTGACCTTGAGGTCGAATGCTTATCCTACGGTGCCACACTAGGATTCCAGAGACTAAACAGTGGGAGAAAAAAAAAAAAAATTCAATTAAGTAAATGTATTTCATCTAAAGCTTTCTTATACTGCTGGTGGGAGTGTACGTACAAATTGGCAAAACAACTTCAGGAAACCACTGGCAGTATCTATATCTACTAAAGCTGAACATATGCAGACCCACTTCTAGATATATACTTACCACATAAATATTTATATTTTGTGTAGCAAAACACATGTATATGAATGTTTGTAGCAATATTATTCATAATAGGAAAAAAATTGGAAATAACTCAGATGTACAGTTGGTAAATACAATGTAGTATATTCATATAATGGAATAGCAGTCAGCAATGAAAATGAATGAACCATCACACAACACAACATGATGCTTCTCACCATCAATACGGAGCACTAGAAAGCAGACACAAAATAGTGCATACTAGAAGATTCCATTGATACAGAATTCATAAACACAAAGAAACAGTTCTGTGTTAGAAATCAGGATAATTGTTGCCTTTGGAGTGATGAAGTTAATGACTAAGATGTTGAATAGGGGAGTATCTTAGTGCTGGTTACATTGTGTGTTCAGTTTTGAGTATTCATCAAGCTATCCTCCTATTATTTATCTATTTTTTCTTATATATGTCTTGCTCCTTACCAGTGATGATGGGTATACTTGATCTCTTTGTACTTTGGACATGTTGTCAGGAAGGACCAGTCCCTGGAGAAAGATATCATGCTTGCAAAGTGGAGGGTCAGATAAAAAGAGGATGACCCTCAGTGAGATATTTGAGCACCAATGGACTCAAACCTAACAATTGTGAAAAATGGTTAAAGATGGGGAGTGTTCGTTCTGTTGTGCGTAGGGTTGCTGAGTTGGAAACAACTCCACAGTGCCTAACAACAACAACAACAACATATATATGTCTTATTCTAATGGAGAACTTACTTTAAAAAATTGACTGAAGCAATGAAAAGATCTCTTTACTGCCTTCCTTCTTAGCGGAGCAGAGAGTCTACATTTAAAAAAAAAAAAAAAAAAGATGACTTTGGTACTAAGAGAAAACATAAAAATATGAGGCACAACAATTATACTTAAAATCTGCAGGTCTACTGTCCTAGAATGACCAGTATGACCACCCTATAGTGTCACTTATATGACTGAGGATGGGTTAGGATATACTAAGATAAAATCAGTTCCCACTGCATCAAGTCAGACTCTCAGCAACACCATGTGTATCAGAGTAGAACTGTGCTCCACAGGGTTTTCAATGGCTGGTTTTCAAGAAACCGACAGCTAGGACTTTCTTCCAAGGTACTTCTGGGTAGGCTTGGTCTTCAACCTTTCAGTTAACAGCTGAGTATGCTGTTTGCACCACGGGGATTTTAATGTTCTGGTTGTTGTTGTTAAGTGCTGTTGAGTAGGTTTTGACTCATAACAACCCAGTACAGAGTTCTCAAGAGCAGCTGGTGGGTTTGAACTGCCGACCTTGTGGTTAGCAGCCCAGTGCTTATCCTATAGAGCCATACCACGAACCCAAAAATCTCAGTGGCTCAACACAATAAAAACTCATTTCTTGCTCACCAGTCCATGTCTAGCACATGCGGGCGGGGGGACTCTGCTCACAGCATACCTAGGGGATCCAGGCTGAGGAAGGCTTCATCCTGACATGTGGGTCCACATCACAGAGCAGAGGAAAGAGTGCATAGGGAAGCTGTACCCTGACCTTTATTTAGTGTGTCTGCCCAAAGGTGAGACGTGACCCTTTCACTGAGATTTCACTGGCCAGGGAAAACTCCTGTCATATCTAATTTTCAAGGGGCAGGGGAAATTCAGGGCTAGGAAGGAGATGAGCTGAAAAGATAACATCTTTACTGATGATTACACTGGCTCCTAAGGTTCCCAAGCTCAGTCTGATCTACAGAGAACTGGGTTGTAGGTACCCAACGCAGGAGACATGGAAAACTGAATTTCTGGCCCACAGCCACTGCCACGCTCCCACCAGTAGGCAGGAATATAAGTATAGTGACTGATAGAAAGTAACTTTGCAGACTGAAGAACAGAGTGGACTTGCAGCCAACTTGAGGCTAAGTAATCACTTTGGTCAGGGAATTGTTAAAGGTATGGCTGCTAACCAAGCCCACCAGTTGCTCAAGGGGAAACTGATGAGGCAGTTGGTGTCCATAATGGTTTACAGCCTTGCAAACTTTATGGGGCAGTTCTACCTGGTCTTGTGGGCACTATGAATCAGAAACAGCTCCACACAGATGTGTTCTGAGTGTAAACCATTGGGGGATGGGTAGGACATCTTCTACAATTGAAATGCTCCTAAAGAATGGTCGCCACAGTAGTGAAGGGGGCTGTGGAGGAATTGGATGTATCATTCTCTAGAGGAGGGAAGCACGAAGGAAGCAGAGTGGGAGTGGAAAACAGAGCTAGAGAAGAGGCAATAGATGGCACAAGAGTAAATGCATGAGGGAAAGGAAGTAGGAAAGAACTTTCCTGTCTCCAGTGAGTTGCAGGTGTAAGATTTTCCTGCCTTATCTGTAGTGTGACTCTAGGCTTCGGGTAGTATTTTCATCTCTGCTAGGTTCTTGTCAAGCAAGTACCTCACTGAAACTCAGTTTGTCTAATGGCAAAGAAATGGCCTTGCATATAGCTCAAGAAAGGAGGTACCTGGCAGCCTCTAATAGTACGCCGGCACTTCCCGCTAATCCTGCTATGAAGTGAGGGGTGCTGCCAAGTAGACATGAGATGGTGTGAGCTTGAAGGGGTACAGGCAGCCAGGGGAGAGTGAGGATAATGAGTGCCAGGGGCAATCACTAACTTGTATCCTCACTCCAATTTGACCAGCCAGGGGCAAGTTCTAAGTTGTATCCCCACCCCAATTTGAACAGTCAGGGGCAATCTGTAAATTGTACCCCAGCCCTAATTTCAAGATGAACAGGTGTCGACAGCAGCAAGGTGTCAGCAGAAGCCCCTTCCCCCTGTTGTACAGCCATCTGAGTCTGGTACTCCCTTGGACTTGCACTCCGTGGTGAGAGCTGCCCTCCCTATACCTGGATACCTACTACTGGGCTAACAGAAACTGCACAGTCGTGCCCAGGACGTGTGCCACGCCTGCCGGGTCTTAGATCCAGGCAATTCCTCTGCATTTTAAATGCGATGTTTCTTAGAAGTATACACTAGGATCAGGAGAAATGTACTCACTCTGAAAACAGTTTTCTTTTTCATTTACCAGATAATAATAAAATTCAATTTTTAAGTCTTTAAAAATTTTAAATATTTGGCTCCTGGATAGACACATCAAAGGCCTGAAAAGGAGTATCAGTTTAAAGATGAAAAAAAAAAATCCTATAAAGTCCCTGATTTCTTTGTGTCTATATAATCCAAAGGAGCCCTGGTGGCACTATAGGTTGAGCACTAGGCTGCTAACCACAAGGTCAGCAGTTCAAACCCATCAGCCACTCCGCAGAAGAAAGATAAGGCTGTCTGCTCCTGCAAAGATTTACAGTTTCAGAAGCCCTAAGATCAGTTCTGTTCTGTGCTGTAGGGGTACTATGAGGTAGAATCAACTTAATGGCAGTGGGTTGAGGTTTTGGTGTCTATAATTCAGTCAGTGTACTGTCAGTGAATGCTTGCATATTGCCGAACAGGTTTCAGTGATGCTTCCAGACAAAGATGGACTAGGAATAAAGGCCTGGCCATCTACTTCCTAAAATCAGCCAATGAAAACTCTGTGAATCACAATGGTCTGATATACAACCAATCACAGAGATGGTACAGGGTGGGGAAGTGTTTCATTCAGCTGTGCATGGGGTTATCCTGGGTCAGAGGTCTAGCCACTGGAAGCTCACAGCAACACACAATCCAAACAGTTTATTTAAATTGTTAAGATCTTCTTACTATACCGAACCCCAGGTAATGCCAAGCAGACTGATGCGTAGTAGAAAGGAAAATGTTGGATTGAGTTATCAAAATTGTCAGAGGGGGCACAGTTTGTGTTAGATAGATTTGCTAAACAAGAAGGTGATTCCTCACACCTCATAAAATCCTTTCATTGCGGATATTCCAGTGCATTCCAAAAGGACTAGAGCTCTCAGGACAGGCTGCTACACAAACTTTTCAGGAACACATCTGCTGTGGAAACTTTCTCAGCGGTTTTGAACTGTGATTCCAACTTCAAAGCATACAGAGAAAGAGATTCATTTAGAAATGTTTATTAGAGATTCAAAATTCTTCACAGAAGGGAAAGATGACCAGAGCCATGGTACAGTTCAGTTCTCACTTCAAGAACGGAGATTTATTTCTTTATTTTTAATGCAACCATGTGCACTTCTTTTGCTAAAAATAAACCCAAATGAGTTCAATTTCAAAGATAAGCTATGGTGGCTGCTATTAGGTTTTAGGTCTAATAACCAGTGGGTCCAACTCATTGTGAGGCAGGGTGAGCCTCATTAAAGAGTGTGGCTGAGAAAGACGCAGGAGGGCCAGTACAAATGGCTGCCCTTTGAGACTTGCTGTGGTTGTTTGCCCGTTCAATGAAGATTTTAATTACGAAGTGATTCTTCTTCATAGATGCCTCATTCGGTTGTGTTCTAATTATAGACCTTGATAAAAAATGCAAACAGAAGAGCCAGCAGAGTCAGGCCCACAGATATCTTGAATGCACCATCTTTCTGCACCCTCTGTGTCCACGGCTCCATTCTGGAACTCAGTGAATCTCCAGGACTCACTGCGGAGGTGTGGCAGAGTGAATCTAAGCGCTTCCCCCACCGGGTTCTGAATTCCTACACAGAGAGAAAGACAGAACGGGAACAATCATTTTAGGATGCAGAGAAAGCTTTACTGTGGTATCGGTCAGCTTGCTGGCTTCCTAGGACGAGCTGTCATTTACTTAGTGCCTATGATACTGGCATAGCCAAATACCTACCGAACAGCAGGGATGAATGAATCACAAGTTCTTTCCCTGAACGGTCAGACCAAGTTCAAGGATTTTAGTAGATTGTACACGTGCCATGGGATCCCTGCTGGTACTGTGGGTTATGGTGTTGGGCTGCTTAACCACAATGGTGGTGGTTCAAACCTACCAGCAGCTCTTCATCAGAAAGATGAGACTGTCTACTTCTGTATAGATTTACAGTATTGGAAACCTGATATGAGTCCGAATTGACTTCATGTCAGTGGTTTTGCTTGTCTGTTTGTCTTTAATGTACTAGAGACAGTTGTCACGTGTCTGTCAAGTAGCTGTACTGTGGTGACTCATATGTTGTTGCAATGCTGGAAGCTAGGCTATCAGTATTTCAAATAGCAGGGTCAGCAGGCTTCCAGACTTAGACTAAGCAGATAGTCCTGGTGATCTAATTCCCAAACGTAGCTGATGGAAACCTTATGGCTCACAACACAACACTGTCTGACTCACTTGCTTTGGACAAGGCTTCAGGAGGGATCAAGTGCTAAAAGAGGACCGTGTGGGATGAAGTGAAGAGCCATGAAGGCAAAGGAGACTCTTGATGAAAAGGGCGGGCACAAAAACGGCAGTGACGGATGATGGACGCAGATGTGCTGGTGACTGTAGGGATGATGTGGTCATTGTTCTGTAGAACATAAGGCCATCAAGAGCTGGAGTGGACTCTGTGGCAGCTATCTGTCTGTCACTCTACTTACCTACCATCATCCATCCATCCATCCACCCACCCATCCATCCACCTACCTATGAGAGGCAAGCAAGCAATGTTTATGGAGAATCAAGACTAAATTCCTGGAGGATAGAATTTGCCGAGATTAGATACATATCTGAAATGTACATTCACTTTTAGAAATGCAGCCATATGTACCCAGAAAAAGAATGTCTAAGACAAAAGCATGAACGAGGGTGGCCACTCTCCTCCCTATCATATTCAACAAACACATTCCCAAGGACAGAGTTTCCCAGCTGGTTCATGGCTACAGAAGGGGGGCCTGGAAGGATCTAGGTGGCTAGGGGCTCACCCCCATATGCAGCCTCCTCCAATGACTCTGATGTGCCATATGAATAGTATCATTCTTTCTGTGTCATGACAAGGAAAAGCTTGGGAACCTCTGCTTGAAGAGAGTACAGTGAGCTAGAAGAGATGACCACACTGCATGTTTCGTTGGTTTCGGTTCTCCTGGCTGCTCTCGGGGTGATCCTTGCATTTTACTTTATGTACCGGCTTTGGGACCCTCCCCCTCTGCGGAAAACTGAATAACATTGTGAGAGATGGAGGCAGGGGTGGGAAGGGGCAGGTGAGGTCTGTAGAGGGAAAGAACAATGGGGAGGGGCACAGTGGAGTGAAGGTATGTAAAAGAACAAGAGATTGACTTCTTTTGGGTTAGAACAGGAGAGAGCAGAAACAATCTTTGACCTCCCGTTTTATGTTGCTTATTCTTCCCTTTCAGGCTACTTAACAAGCTCCTTGGGGGCAGGGTTCTGATGGCACCTTTGGGTTCTGTGTGGGAAGTTGTATCAGGCCACAGGTGGTACTAATACAGGAAAACTGTGTTTTTACCAAGGGAACTGTACAGGTAGTGTGGATTTGGAGAGTGGCTGTGTCAGGGAGTCCAACAGCAAGTTGTGACAATCACTGAGACTGGAGCTAAGGAGGGCCTTATGCTAAGAGGATGGCAGAAGAGATGGGGAGGAAGGTACAAATTATTTGTGATGCCAAATCCACAGGATTTGTGCTCAGATGAGTGGGTAATGAGAGGTGAAAACAAAACTGGGGAAATAGAAATAAATTTTACAACCCAATTTCCACTGGCTAATATTTACATGCAATAGATGAGAGAGAATTCTTGCTTTGACTGTAGGAGACTAATTGCAAAATTAATAAAGCTGTTAACTACAAGGAGAAATCTCTCAACCCCAATGACAGTCAAACCATTATTAACTTCTGTGCTCCTCGGGTATCTGGACTGCAGGTCTGTTGGTCTCTCTGCACCCTGAGCCCTTAACTAGCAGGAACACAGCTGGGCAGAAGAAGAAGGCAAAATGCTGGAGCTCAGTAGGGTACCAAACCTGCCTCAGCCCCTGGGTAGATAGCTCTCAGAGACAATGGCTTTTTGTGTGATATTCTGGAGTTGGGATTATGTTGATAAGTTTTTTACTTTGATTAATTAAAAATAACTCCAGTTCCAGATTTGAAGGGTGACTTAAGAGCCATAGTGTTGGGGGTTCTAGCAGTCTCTATATGACCAGAAAGCCTGGCCTTTTTCACATGATTTTGAATTTTGTTCCACATTTTTCTCCCACTCTATCCAGGACCTTTAATGTGATCCTTTTCAGAGCAGTTAGTAACAGTAGCTAGGCACCATCTAGTTATTCTAGTCTTAGACATGGACACTGATTGATGGTCATGCGGTGCTTGGTAAACCTTCACCCAGTTCACAATAAAAAGTTTTAAAAAACAAAACAAAAATAGTTTCAAGGTCTCCAGGATGGAACAGATTTGCAACCTTGGAAAAGAATGCAGAAGTGACAGAAACTGTGTGAGGTCATCAAAAGCAGGGATGCTGGCAAATTCGTCTCAGAACTCTTGGAGCCTAGCACAGTTCCAGGTTTAGACCAGATAGTAAGTGCTGAGGGATGAATTAGTGAATGAATGAATATGAAGGTATTCTAGATGAGATTTATAGCTGCCTGAGAAGTTGCCTGACTATGTTTCTGGTGAACAAAGTGTTCTGAGATGCATTTATGGCAAACCATGATTTTATAAGTTTGAGTTTACAAGAGTCTAGTTAATTTCTCCAAGGCCAGAGCACCTTTACCTTTTTGGGTCACAGATAGCTTTGAGAAGGAAAGGAATAAATGGCTCAGAAAAATATGGAGTTGTCTGTGCATTGGTACACACAGCCGCCTAAGTACTGCTGCATATAACTATATGATCCTCACCCAAGAGTGGATCCATACCTTGTGAGGTCTGAAGCTTATATAATTTGGGAAGACTCTCTTTAACAACTACTCCCTGCCTGCCAGTTTGCTGTACTGTGGTGACTTGCATGTTGCCGTGATGCTACAAGTTATGCCATCAATATTTGAAATACCAGCAGTGTCACTCATGGCGGATAGCAGACTAAGACAAGGAAGAAAGGCCTGGAGGTCTACTTCCAAAAAAAAACAAAAACCAGCCAATAAAAATCCTGTGGATCACAGCTGAACACTATCTGATGTAGTGCTAGAAGATAAGTCCCTGAGGTCAAAAGACACTCAAAATACACTGGGACTTTCACAATGGACTTGAGCATTGTGAAGATGGTGCAGGACTGGTAACATGGGGCCACCATGAACTAGAGGTGACTTCACTGCAACTCACCATAACTCTTTAAGAAAAAACAATTTTCAAATGAATATAGAATTATGTGTAGGGCCTTGAGCGGGCATATCAAAGGGAGGAGCCTGAAAAGTAAGCTCTCTAGCTTCAGGGAAAATCCATCTCTGTCCCCACCCAAATTAAGAAGGCTTGGTTCTGTACCTGCAATTCAAGAAGCTGCCATTGGGTGATCAGTGGTGCCCGGCCAAGGATCAGGCTGAGCTGGACAAGACTCCTAAATCTTAGGTATTGAGCATTTGGTTGGGTTTTAAACACAATTTGCTTCACAGAGCTGCTGTACAAGTAATGAATCTGTGCTCTGTGTGGCAGCGGGTGGAGGGACCCTTTGATTTTTTATAAACTTTTTTCCTCTCCTGGACTGCCAAAGGAGCTCTGTCTGGTAGTGTAGTGGTTACAAATAGGGCTGTGAACCGCAAGGTCAGCAGTCTGAAACTACCAACTGTTCTGCGGGAGAAAGATGAGGCTTTCTGCTCCCGTAAAGATTTACAGCCTCGGAAATCCTGTACAGGGTCGCTATGAGTCAGAACTGACTCCACGGCACATAACCACCACCACCACCACTGGACTGCCAATCACAAGGTCAGTGGTTTGAACCCACCAGCTGCTCCAAGTGAGAAAGGTGAGGCTTTCTCCTCCTGCAAAGATTTTTAGCTTTGGGAACCCTATACATGACTGCTATGGATCTGAACAAACTTGATGGTGCTTAGCAAAAACAACAATCATTTGCCAAACATCCAAAGAATGAGAGATTAAGTCTAGCCATCATTTCTTCTAAGGAGCATTCTGACTGTACTTCTTCCAAGACAGATTTGTTTGTTGTTCTGGCAGCCCGTGGCACTTTTAATATTCTTCTCCAAAATCATAATTCAAATGTATTGATTCCTCTACAGTTTTCCTTATTCACTGTCCAACTTTTAAATGCACATGAGGCAACTGAAATACCACAGTTTGAGTCAGGTGCACCTTAGTACACAAAGTGGCATCTTTGCTCTTGAACACTTTGAAGAGGTCTTTTGCAGCAGATTTGCCTAATGCAATATATGGTTTGATTTCTTAACTGCTGCATCCATGAGCATCAATTGTGGATTCAAGTAAAACAAAACCCTTGTAAAGATTGTTGTTGTTGTTGAATGCCGTCAAGTCAGTTCAAACTCATAGCAACTCTGTATAGGGTTTCCAAGGAGTGGCTGGTGAGTTTGAACTGCCGACCTTACAGTTCAAACCGACCTTGTAGTTGAGTGCTTATCCTACAGCTCAACTCTATACAGCAGTTACTTCTACTCTGTCCTGTAGGATTGCCAAGAATCAGAATCAACTTGACAGCAGCAGGGTATCACTGTGACACCAAAGGAAAGTAGTTTGGAAATACAGAAAATACAAGGACATTCTCATAAAGTCCAAGATGCTCAGACCTGTAAAAGATTTTCAGTTAGAAGCAG